CAGAGGAAAGCTGAAAACCAGTGATATGTTCTCGAACAGCGTAAACATATTAATGACTTGTTTTGTAATGTACCTTGTATCCGTATATGTTTTATGTATCTTGTGTAGCAAAAATAAATGGTTTAAAAGAAAAAAACCTCTCCTACTACTACTACTTGTGGAAAATTAAGTAATGTGGAAACAATATATTTTAGGTTGAAATTTAACATCTTACTACCTTATCTAAATAAAGTAACGGAGTTATTAAAACTAAATTTAAAATAATCTAACATACTACAATTTGGTAATATAAACATTAAAGTACGTAGTTTTTTAAATATCATTACAAACGTATTTTACACTAAACGTAGTAAAATAAATCCTTTTAAAAAAAAGGTGAACCGACTTCAAACAATACTAACAAACAGCATTAAATATTTACAAATATTTATAAATGTAATAAAAAAAAACGAAATAAGTACGACCCTCAATATAACAGGTAACATTTTAATAGCAATGGATACCTTCTAGTCAGTTTGAAGTCTTGAAAATGCCTCAAGTTGTTATTATAGTACCACTAATATAATAACAACTGCAGACATTTCACATATGGCCGTCTGATATCAAACTAGGCAGAGCCTGTACTATGGGCCTCAGAATGCTGATAAGCATCATCATCAAACACATCACATCAACTGCCTTTAATAGTCCACTGCTGGACATAGGCCTCTCCCTAGAAATTAGGTTTTGGCCTACTATACCACGCTGGCTAGACGAGTTGTTATAGGGTTTGTATCAAGTTTTCCTTCTCTTTGCAGTACTGTTGTTCTGCGTAGTTTTTTCTCGCTCAGTTGGCTCTTACAACATTTTAAGACCCTTGGCATGAATAGGGGTGGTGACACTCTCTATTCTTAATCCATCACCACCCGGACAACGATCATCATAGATTATTAAATAAATACACATATATTACAGAGGTTTTTTTCTTTTTAACCTCCTTTCTAAGGAGAGGCCTATGTCCAGCAGTGGACTATATAAGGCTGTTGATGATGATATTACAGAGAAACCACACTCAGATACGGAACGAATGATCGTGCTTATCACACAATTATTTGTCTTAACTGGGAATCGAAATCATGACTCCTGCCCCTAAGGTCAAGATACTGCCTACTAGACTATCAGGTTTGTCAAATGTCGTTTGGCAGTTCCTCTTTCTCGTTCTCCAACATATTTTATCTAACATCAATTTTATTGACCATTCAAACAAATAAACGTGTCATAATTTTGTGAGGCCTTAAATAATGTTTTAACTCATTTATATTTAGGATGCTCAACCGTCGGGTCCTGCCCGTCATTGGCAAGTTTATATTGACATTAAAGAGACCGTTTGTGAAAATGTCACCGGGCTATATTTATACCGTGTTAAATATTCCCCGATATTTGTTTTTCAGTCTTTATTATCTAAATAGGATGTTACGAAACGGACGGACGTCATCGCGTGAGGGAAGTTATATAGAGAAGTGCGTCACCACGCCTCCGAAATGTGGCTGTGCCTGTCACATCTACATTGAACACTTATCGAACTTTATTATGTTAAGATACGTACAAATAACTCTTAGCTAATCGGTGGCGGTCCGATTGCGTCGGTTATTGAAGATGTCATGTCGTTATTGCCTTTGTTTTAAAAACTCAATTATAACCTCATATGTTTATTTGTGTCTACAAAACTATGGATTCAGGCATTTTTACCCGCACAATTTACCACGATACTACATTCCGCCTTTTCTCTAGTATAAGAACTCCTCGTTTTTCTCCACATCTTTGTCACTGTGAACAAGCTGTTGATAGTCTCGGACATTATGGCCTTTCTTTATTCTACCATCAATGTAGGCGTTAACTACTATAATGTCTGCATATTGTATTTAGAAATTCAGTGATGACGTTAATTACTACATTATGACGTGTATTTATTTAAATAAAAAAGGAATTATATATAAATGTTTATTGTTGCAATAATAAACATTTACCGGTGTCCTTTATTCTACAAAATTGCAAAATGCAGATTCTTTATACAATTTTCCTACATGATACTGATCATAGACTGGTCACGACTCAGAAACTGCCCTAAACTTCTAAATTTACTGACTAATATAAACAGTTTCTGACCCTGCAGAGAAAACAATTTTACCTGTACATTTTCCTTCGCTTTTATCAAGTCTTCAAGTACAGTTTCAGTTGCATATTGGTCGCGACTCGCGATCGCTATTCTAATGTGTAGTCGTTTCACTATTACATCCTGTATTTATAATATCTACAGCGGTTATAGCAACAACAGTATCTTTTATCAACAAATTAATCATAACATAACAAAGTAATTCTTAAATATAGCTCAATATTCAAGATAAACACATTAATGAATTTAACATATTTTTAAGTGACCTATTTTACAAAAATTACCTTTATTTAATATGAAACATTCCCCCAATTCATCCCGTGGGTGTCGTAAGAGCCGACTAAGGGAGCAAACTAAGCAGGACAACAGCACTGCAAAGAGAAGGAAAACTTGAAACAAACCCTATACCAACCCGTCTGGCCAGCGTGGTATAGTAGGCCAAAACCTCCTTTCTAAGGAGAGGCCTATGTCCAGCAGTGGACTAGTATAGGCTGTTGATGATGATTGATGAATATGAAACAAACAGCAGATGGCGCTGCAACTACATTTGAATTGAAATCAAGTTTTATTTAACATATAAAACTCTGAATAAATTAACATTACAGAATAATTTAAGGAATAAGTATACCTTTTGAATAAGTATTTTAAAAATTAAATTACTTCAAACAATAAAAACAGTGTCTATTGCAACTACATGTTACAAATATTTCTAATAACATCACTAAAATATAAAACTCTCTCTTCGAACACTTTCGACCAATTTCTATACTTCCCTTTCTTTCTAAAGTGCTAGAAGCTTGTGTACATAAGCAGCTCTCATAGTTTGTAAATCAGCAGAATCTTCTTAGTCCTTTACAATCTGGGTTCAAAGTGACAGGCAATATTAGGAACGGTATGGAGGACACTAAAGTCACAGTGCTGGCTTTGATTGATTTGTCGAATGCCTTTAATACCGTTAGTCATGACGGTCTACTGGCCATCCTTTCCTATCTTTTGATCTCCTCAGAAGCTCTGGAATGGTTGTCCTCATATCTTCAGGGACGACAATATAGTGTTCATATTATTATTATTGACTTGTCGTCGAGTTGGTGTGATCTACTCACTGGCGTCCCTTAAGGCATTATATTATCTCCCTTATTATTCTCAATATTCATTACTCTTATAACCCAGCACCTTCGGTCAAGGATTGAAGACTTCAATAGAATATAAAATCACGACAAGAAACCTCCCACCAATGAATCGACCGCCTACATTTTGTGTAGGTAAATGTATCTGCAAAAATTAGAGTATAAGAGATTTAATTATGTGAGTAACCAAGTAAAGTCGTATGTTTGGCATATTGTAGAAACTGATTTAACAATTTCTTATTGATACCAGAGGAAGGTTTCAAAAAAGGTCATGTCACTGCCCACGCGTTGCTCACCCACTCTTTGCCATTTACTTGTCGAATAGGGGATCAACAGGTGGTTGCCATCGTTACGCGCAAACCTTGCAGTGACCTTTCCTTGGTTGGGTAGTATATCGTACCGTACTCCCACCCCCAATGTAGGTTATGTTATGTTATGAACCCATAAACAGCCATACCAAATACTATGCGTATTTTTCCTATTTTAAACAAGATGGATCGAACTTAATCCCGATTTTTCCCACTACATACGTTACATGCTGTTCATAGCGAGTAGACTAGTGGTTTAGCCACAGAACATACAGTACAATCATCGACCTTAAGAATGTCAACGTTACGTAATCGCTCTCGTAGATATTCTAAACGGAACGACAATTTTTATGATTAAGTTTTAGTTACTCTGGACAATATTATATTAATCAAATTTATGAAAAGTGACAGATCTAATTGAGTAAAAATTTAAGTAAATTGTGGTGTATAGATTTTTGAATTGCCTTTTATATTAGTTTAACTTCAAGAGTCTTCGGACTACTACTACTAAGGAAACTAAACACTATTTGAGTTGCCTTTACCAGCAATTTTAGGTGTTAATGTTCACTGCATTCATCCCCTTTGTGTGAAAAAGTGTTGTGTCGTTGTTTTTGAATAAGTAATAAAAGTAAGTAATTTAAAAATTTGATGAAACGAAAAAGCGACAGTAAAAAGAGAAAACATATTCATAAATAGGATTTAGCCTGCGGGAGAATGAGATAGATTACAAGTACATAGTGTGTCTCTTTGCACCTGCATACAACAAAGCCTTCAGAAAATGTGTCATAAACAACGTGATGTATCATGCCCGTGTTTTATTTTTTTGCATTTGCATATTATTAATTTATGTTAATAATTTAACACATCTGTGATAATTTGACCACGATACACACTACTTTTCTGAAGTTTTACTTCTGTTGGGTGTAAAAAAACACACACCCATTTTAAATTAAAAAGTGATAACGTGGGTTACACATAATGCGTGTTCTTGTTAGTCCCTCCAGCTTAGCTAACTAATGCATGCATGACTGAATTTACTTTGCTGCTGTATAACGTTGGGTTCGAACCCTGTCTAGGGTTTTATTGGATACTAAATAGGAACGGCATTGGATAATACAAATGAGTGATTTAATTTTTAACTAGTGTCTGCAGCATACGTCAAATACCTAATCCTCGGAAATAGCTTACAGAGTAACGTTTTAGACATTATTACGTAGTTACGGCTATGACCAGGTACATATTTTTAGAAGAAGCCAATGATTTATCCGAACTACGTAACAACCAAACTATTCGGAACGGTGGATCAACGTCACGGGAGCGCGCATGCCATCTGGCTAATTGTAGCATATCCAAAACGGTCTGCGGGATCCGTCACCGGGCGGCAGAGCGCCGAGTAGCGTACGAAAGTGGATCATGATTCAACGCGCAGAGAAAGTGGCGAGTGGCAGGAGTCGCTCAGACTCGTGCGGCACCAGGGTGCCCGATGTCACACACGGCGCTCGAACATCAGCGGCGAGCCTCCGCGCCCACGTGCCGGCCGCCCGCGCGGTCGTCCCGCCGCCCGCCGCATCGCTGTCACTACACTTGTGCGCCCCGCGCTTTTCGCGCGCCTGCCTTTGCCGTCGCGACGCCGCGCCATTTCCTCGCGCACGTAGGCGACGCCGCCGGTAAGTGAGGACGCCCGGCTCAAACGCCATTAACGGGACCGTCGTGAATGAACGCCGACCTCGACCGGATGGCTGGCGTCCATTGATAGGGCGCGCGGCGGACGACGACCGCGGCACTCACGGGGGCGGCGTACAGCACGCCCTCGTCGCTTTGCCTGTGCCTCAGTCGAGGATGTGGCGTTCTCGGCGCGACGACTCAATCTGCATGCAAAACCTGTGTTCATTTATCAGTAGATACTCGTGACCGTACAGTGTTATTAAAATATCGGTGCAGTGTATTCAAAAATCCTAAGCGTAATGTGCTGTGATCACGTCAATTTTTATAAAATTAAGTTAGTTTAAGTAAATCAGCGGTGTGACATATGCGCCGGTAAAGAGCCGCAAGCACTGGAGTTAGATGTGATCAAATGTGCGGGTGCGCCGCATAAACGGTGGTGTGGATTGTGCAGTGCGGGAATGCGCTCGTGCGATGCTCTCGGTGATCGCGATGCGTCGTCCGGAGGACGAGGAGTTGGGAGGCCGCGGCGACAGCGACGAGTTCGTGGACATATCTCAGATGCAGTTTCTGGTCGAGGCGGGCCCGAGTGGGCTGCACTACGGAGGCCCACCGCCGCCGCACGCGCTGCCCCAGCCGTATGCGCAACTCCCCGCACACCCTGCTACCACCACCGCGTCCGTCGACGATCTGTTCGCACTTTGCTTCACAACAACTTCCCATGGTGAGGATCTTTAATATCTATATTGTTATTTTTACATAAAGCGGAACCGGTTCCGGTTGGATTTAAATAAATCGACGTCATTCTTGAACGGGTTTTCGCCTCTGATAATTCGTGATGGTATGTTTTAAGCATAATCTAATGCAGTTAAGTTTTATTTGCAGATTGCAAACCAGTCATCTTATCAAAATAGTAAAATTTTACTCTCATAAAAGTAAATGTCTAATTAAAGTTAAGTCTAATAAATTCACAAAATCTCATAATAATTATCTAATGTTTACTTTTAAATATCTAAAAACAACTAAAAAGGATCTGTTCTGATTGTTCGTAAACTTTCTTTCGGAAAACTCACATAGGTCTATATTAGATGGATAATATTTATTAAATTGGTGTTTATTAGGTCTTCACTGTTGATTTTTATTTTTTATTGACACACCCGATTAAAAAACACCTACTCCTAATTAATTCGGTACCACTAGTTGTAACGCTACGTGACAGACAGAATTAATAATGAACACACAAGTAGGGTGGATGATTAGAAGTCTATCTGTCTATCTTAATTACAAGTCAAAATAACCGGACCGTATTTGCCATAGCGGCACGCAGGGCACATGCCCAGGACCCCTGATCAGAGGGGATCCCTTAAAGTTTGACAACTAATCCAGGTTATACTTTTTAAGTACGTACTTGTAAAAATAATAGAAATGCTTCATTAAAATTAAATTTTGGTTTCTAAAGACAGGTGCCCTAGATAAGTAAAGTTTATCTATAAGCGAAAAGTACAATATAAATACTGTATGGAACTTGAAAGGTTTCTCCTTTGTTTATAAAAAATATTACATTTTCCAATTTGACCCTAATTTCTTGTGTGCCTAATGGCTTGCCTAAAAACTGCCTTGCAAACCAGTATTCTTTTACTAAACTTCAAAACGGTTTAATTTGGTCAAAATAAAAAGGTATGACATCAAGATTCAGCATATTCAAATCATTCACTTTTGATGATGGTTAATGCTGATCCTAAATCAGACACCTGAATAAATACTAAACAATGTTATTAGTCACAATGATGTTATTGCCTTAATGTTTGTAGATTGGATGCATTTTTACAGAAAATATAAATTGTGGGTGTATTAAATTTTATAGTCCATCTAATCTAAGAGGTACCTACCGTTTGACGTTTCATACTTTTCAAGACGAAACAACTTTGTACAAGCGTAACTCACACAATTTCAATAACCTTTTCTCCTCCTCCTGTCTCGCTCCTCTTTTGGTAAAACCATGGAGTTATATGTGCTAGTTGCTATGTAGCTATTTTTATTTTGTCCAAGATATACAATTCTTAAAGAGTAAATTTAAATCTTTGAAACAAAGCAAAATAACTAATTTATACACAATATATGTTTTTTTTTCCAACTTCATTTCAAAGTCACCTAATTAGGTTCTTTACCGTAGCTTTGCGGCTCTTCAAATTTACTTGAATATAACGAATAATCGTTTAAATGTACGAAAAAACAATTTATTTAATAACGAGTAATTTTTAGTCCAGGCTTCCTAAAGTGTTTAAGCATACTTAAAATTCACCTGACAGCTAAATCTCAACGAAAACGCATAATTAAAATTAAAAATATGTAAGTAAATGTAATTTTAGATAAGATGGACTATAGTTAGTGCAACCATTAGTTTAGTAAATTCCCAAATTTTGAGGATGAAAATTCCACTGTACAATTTTTTTATTTTTTTTTATTTTTTTTATATTATTTTTTTTTTTTTATTTTTTTTTTTAAAAGACAACTCCCGCATTAGGAATAAATCCTGTGTCGCGGGGGACTTTACAAACATACATGAAACGGACACAAAGAACACCCAGACTCAGAACAACAATTTGTGGATCACACAAAGTGTCGTCCCATGTGGGGTTTGAACCCACAACACTCGGCGTAGTAGGAAGCGGCGTGGCGACCGCTTAAACCACTACGCCATCCGTGCAGTCACAACCATTAATATTTTATTATAATTTCGTATCTGTCAATCTTCGAAAACTTGATGAATAGCGCATATTCCAAAGCTTTAGAAAATATTATTTTATCTGTTACGTAAGTTCCAGCAAAGAGATTGAGATGTGCAGTCCTATAAACGAAAGCTGAACGTCACAATTCCTTGTTTACTTTGTGAACAGCATACACCTCTTTATCACTTTGCTTTAAACACCTTATCCTTAAGAAAAGGTGAATTGAAAGTAAGAATGGTTAATTTCAATATACGAGTGCGAGATGGTATAAGAATGCAAACAATGCTACTGATTCAAACTAAGTAAAGCAACTAGTGACATCGCATTGACCCCGCTATGACCCGACTAATATGATGTTCTTCAAAATCAGCTATTGTACTTTGAAGTTGTTTTTGATTAACATTCTTTTGTATAACGACATTATTTAATGCCAAATATACTTTTTGTGTATAGCTGAGGATAAAGGCTTGTCATAGAGTTAGTTTATTGAATTTGTAATGCGATATCAAGAATAAGCTAACCTAATAAACACACGAATTTGGATAAAACTGTAAATTATTCTCATCGTTTGATCTGCAAGCTATATACAAAAAAGTTAAAGGTCAACCAATTTCACAAATTGAGTTACTTTTTTTTTAGGTATGAATAACGCAATAATATTAGTCTTAGCTACTTAAACACAAAATTTAACTGTATTGGTGACAGATGTTTTGTATTTGTGTTTTACGTCAATCAAGATCAACATTTAATTGAGTTACTTGAATGAAGACCTTGCTCAATCAAAATTAATTTTTGGTACTCTAGTAAAGTGTATTCAAATCTGTATCGCATAAAAATCTAAATAGATTTTTCGCTAAAAGACATAATAAAACTAACAAGATGTGAAATGGATGCAATCGACTTAATTTTTGATTTTGTAAATGTATTGTGATCTAATATATATCAGTAGTTATTCCTTTGCATGCATTGTATTTCTAGTTCAGCCTAGCAAATACAGCAAAATAAATATATATTATATTTTGCTGGTATTTTCTCATAATTATTATTTACATATGAACTATAAAACGCCTACACAGTTAAAACTTGACATGTTACATAACAATTTCAAATATAAACTGAAAAATAAGACCATCACTAATTAAATTACAATGTCACGAACGTTGTCCTAAGTTATTTCGTAATCGTCAGCGCGCAAGCGAGTTCGTAATAATTCGGATCAGCGTTCCAACTCTGTTATCTGGACCGGACGGTGCTAATCGGCTGCGTCTGTGCAAGCATCGCTATCATGTTCACCCAACCAACCATAAACATTGCCATACGCGTATTTCATTTGGCAATTTCATCTTATACTCAGAGCCAAATGACCTTCACTCCTTCAATCTCTTTTATGCATTTAAATAAGCAAAGAAATAGGGGGCGTTGATTGAGATCTATAAATTATTACTACTTACTACTTCCACCATGAAACACACAAGACTATTACACACCTCAGAAGTAGTTAATCGACTTTTCATGATACATCAAGAATATTATTAAAATCAAGGGTACCATCTATAACAAAATAGCAATTATTTATCTATCACTAAGTGTTTTCTTTAAAACTTAACGTTTATGAATCTGACGATTTATTTTCATATTTTATATCATGAAGTAAATAAAGTAATCTGAAGTTGCTTGTAAACATGGAAACCTTAGAATATTAAAAAAATATAAGATGTACTAATAACGTAAGTAAGGTAAAAGTTGAATATTAGTGGTAGTATAATTGCAATAAAAGTAGTATAAATTACATTGGACATTGCTTGCTCTGTGCGAAGTCGGCGATTTTGTTTTTATTTTATTTTATTTGTTTTGGATCGCAACAAATGGTAAAACTATAATAAGTAAAACTAAATAACAATAAATTACAATACGTAAAAAATATACAAAAACATGCCTTGTGCTCATTCAATTATAGGCAATCATACAAAAATACTCTCTATTATATTTGACTAACTTTGTTCGATTTTGCCAACAACAAAATAAATACTACACGACAAGTTTACTTTACTTATTACCACTATTGTGTGGTACGGTACTTTGTTGCGGTAAGGTATTAAGAAAACAACTAGGTATCAAAGCCATTTACAATTTACGTAGTCGCTATTAACTGAGAGAAGCTAATAATCAGACAGTGAGTTGTTGTATATGTATGAAAATTATCAACAACATCATCATCATCTTAACAGGAAAAAATGCATCTATTTACAAGTGTTAATTTCTGTAATAAAATATCTCCTAATATTTTTACACTAAATGAGAAGAAATTTAAAATTTATATAGAACACAAGCTATGTAAACAAGCATATTATAAATTCGATGATTATATAGCAGACAAAAATAGTTTTTACAGTACATATTCTTCAGTAATTGGTTTTCTAATGCTACAGAAGTCAGAAATAAGCTTTGCTTGCACAGCCAAATACATACTACAAAAACATTTATGAGAAGTTAACAATTTATATAGTTTCGGACAAAAAAAAATAAAGTGATGTAGTGAAGGGGGTAAATTAATATTTATCCATTCCCAACACCACCCTTGAGATGGCTCTCGGTCTGACTTCACAGGAAGAAGCAGTCATCGCGATCAGAACATTTAGACAACTGGTTCTGTGGCACAATTGTGAGGGTGCGCATTATGGGATGAATTGGTCTGCGTTCCAGTCATCACAGGCGTTTGGCTGAACTGAGCGAACAGTTCGCTAAGTTCGGGCGCAGGCAAATGGCCCGGTGCAGCGGGGCCCGGCTCATAGCGGCCTGCCCCCACACCCCATTCCGGTGACGTCCCTGATGCCCACCTGTGACAAGTTCTATTATTACGAGTTATCTCGTGACCACAATCACTGCATTTGATGGATAACCAGAAAACGTATAGAACCTTGTAGTAACGCAATTAAGTACAGATTTACACGTCTAATGTGTATTATCGTAAAGGTTTAAATACAATGTCTGAAAGTGATTATACTTAAA